CAAACCCAACCTGACCAGCCCTCTGCCCAGCAATATTATCCCCGTCTCTGCCTCTCGACAAGCTCCGCTTCTTTCCTGGCCGCTCCGCTTTCTGTAACATTTTTATCACTGTGACGTGCTGCCGTATGTGCTGTAACACACTGTACTCCGCTCGTGTATCCGACTCCTTCTGCTGTATGAATTCTGCCACCTAAATGGAGCTATAAAAACTATGCAGTGAATTATGTACAAAGACCTCCCCCATTCCCTTCCCCACCTTACCAGGCTAGCTCCATTTTTAGCAATCACAAGTCATCTCAGATGCACTGAGTAAAAGATAGCTACCTGCCTTCAGAGAGCAATTTTGCCTGTTCCCAGGAGGTTGCTGAACGGGGGGGATTCACTGTATTTGCTGCTGTAACTACAGCTCTCAAGGTCACATCCTCTCTGAGCTGCACTGGTCAAGCTTAACAGTGCAAAAGGCTGTACTGTTGCTGAACAGGCTGACTAATTTCTTTGTGTATTACAGAAACAACTTCCATGCCTTTCCTGGTTTCTATCTCGAAAGGCCTAATTTCTTACAGCCTGAACTGTATTAACATACTGCATTACATTTTTTTAAAAGGACTTGGATAAACGGAGAGCCCTAAAGATAATTTGCTATAAAGGAGTCTAGAAGTCCCCCGGCTTTAGATACCAAAAGAGAGACATTCAGTGAATAGCTATAATATGACTCTCCTCAATAGTGCATGTAGGAATCAAGTCTTTTGGTAATTCTCAAATGACAATGGATGATTTTTGTTGAAGGAAAGTGAATTTTCATGTGCCCATATGGTCACAAACCCGCCAAGTATTTTCTTCAGTTTCTTTTTAGTTACTGCCCCGTACCAGAGAAGGGCAGGTAGCTCTCCTAGCCTAAGCCCCAGCACTGGTTCACATCAGCCCTGTACGCACAGATGGGAGAATGGGTACAAGCCATAGCTTGCAGAAACAGCATGAGACTGAACAAAGCCAAGAGGCACGAGATGCCCGTGCCGGCGGCACGCGTGCCAGGCTGCATTCTGCCTCCATCCCTCGTCACAACAGTGGCTTCAGGCAGGACTAAGGCTGGTGCTGCCCTTACGATGGGAAAAGGGATATGATGTGGCTAACAAGAAGATGCTTCCTTGCTGGACCGGCAGACTCATCTCAGGTAATGCAAGAACAATCCTCTAAGTCTTTGCTAGTCATCACCCACTGTCCTTTTCTAAGGTAAAAATCACCTTAGCTCTCCCTAACTTAATAATCTCAGCAGTAGTCAGCAAGAACAAAAAAGCCAATGAGTACCACTTATTAGGACTATGGCAGCTAGCAGTCTTTTGTTCCAGGTCCATTTTTGTCTTCCTGCGCCATTTTCAGAAAGAAAAGTGGTTGGCAGGAATAAGTTACATCTAAGTCCAGAATCTATTGCTTTCTGAATGTTGTACATGGTCTTGCGCAGCTGCGGCAAAACCCAGCCAAAACAAGATGTAGGTTGCGCAAGAGCCAGGATGGAGCTAGAGAACTCTGCTGAATCTCAGGGGTTTGTTGGCGAGTTATTCCTATATTCGGAATTTTATCCTTGCAGTAATCTTGGTGTCCTGAGACTACCCGGTAGGCACTTGCTGCAGTGGGTAACTGGCCTCTCATGCAGATTTTTAAGTATATACATAGAAGAAGATACCCACTGCTGTGGAGTTTTGTAACCCGTACTAAGATTAGTCTGGATGAATTATGAATGGAAACATCTGTGTGTGTGAAAGCACAACCAACCTGTCAGCAGCGGTCCTGTCCTCTGACAACAGGAGGAGGACAAGAAAGTTAAAGAGCACATCACTTCCATAGCCTCTCTGAAAGCAGACTACAGCCATAAAGATTCCCCAAACAAGGAAGCAAAAAGGTAACAGCACTGCTTAAGATCTATGGAAGCTGAAAAAAGCAAGACTCTGAGGTTAAAGATCACGCTATAATAACAGGTAAGTCCTAGAAAGTGTAAAAAACAGTCCAAGAGCCAGTCTGTTGTGAAGAACAACTCCGAAGACATAGTGAAGGCTTGACAGATGGTGTCCCTGCTCCTCCCTGCAGCACACAACCAAGCCTGGCTACAGCACCTGGATGCACAAGGCTTGACGCCGACACGGGGCGGTGAGAGCGCAAGTGAAGCCTAGAAGCGTGAATGACTGAAAACAGTTTTGTTTGGAATAAATATCACCATTCCCTTCTATAAGGTCTCACACTGAGTTTTATTATATTAATTTCCCACACTGGTGCACAACCACCATGCAATATAAAAGCTGGGTAATATAGCTGGGGGACTTTTTGTATGGCAAAAAAATTAAATGAGCAACGTGTCGAGATCGTCAGCACTTACTGGCATGTGCACAAGCTTAAATTCCAGAAGACACATCTTTTAAACCAGCTAATCTTCAGTCTATTTCACCTTCAGGTAAAACCCTAGAGCAATTTTTTTCTTGAAGGAGGGCCTAGCATATCTGAGAAGTATATCCTACATAATAAGCCTCTCCATAAAAAAAAAACAAACTGGATTTCATGCACTCTGGTATTCACACAAAAAGGAGCATTGCTCAAAATCATGCACTACAGAAAATTCTTCAACTGTAATGCTTTGCACTGGCACTGAGCAGCTGTAGCTAGCTGCAGCCAGCTCGTCACAACGAACATGAAAGCAGTCAATGAGCATCACCTTAAAAGCACGTTTGCATGACCAAGAGCAGGTATTTTAAGACCTTCTACAGTTTCACCAAATCTTTGGTCATTTCAGTGTGCCACTTCTGGAAGTTGTCCTTTTAGTCCTTAAATTGAAAAGGATTATAAAAAACATATGGAACTTGGGAAAACAAACCCCCTTGGAAGGTGAGGTTTTGAATCCATTTTCTTCGCTGTGTGAACATACCAAAAGAGATGCATGGGTAGGAAGAACTCGGGCAATCTCATCTTGCTGAAAACCAGATTTTTGACAGTCACTGTCTCTGACCTAGGAGTATCTGCAGCAGTCAGAAACACAGAATTAAAAAGAAAATAAACCTGCCACAGCTAACATAGTCATATGAATCTTCATTTTGCCTCCCTGGGAACACAGCTACAGCAAACAAGAGGTCAAGAGGAATCTGATTTAGAAGAATACATTTCTGTCCCTCAAAGCTACTCCCCGAACAACTCCTTTCTTTGCTGCAGGAAAGAAAGCATCGAAACTGCCCTCCCACCATATTTCAAGAGAATAGAGCCCTCTTAGCTCTTTGTACTCTCAGCCCTGTTTGCTTATCACTTACAGCTCAGACAGACAGCTGCAATTCCCACCGGCTTTCCGGAGGAGATCAATTATCCCACCTAGGAACAAAGCATCCAGGAATGACTTAATCACACTTTTCAGAGAAGTAAGAGCAGAAGCCGTCCCATCCCTGGCAGAGGGGCTGGCGAGGGTGTTCTGGCAGCATTTAAGGTTGGAATACCAAATGTTAAACTTGTTCTAATAACGATATTTGGATTGCAAGGCAGGATTTTCTCCTTTCTTTGTTGAGCTGATAGCTACACACTGCCTGCCTTTGGAGTAAAACAGCACTTGTATGGGTGCAGTATTTTGTTGGCAGAAATATTCTCTCTCAGGGAAAGTGCAATCAAAGCAGCCAGCGTATGCAGGGGTAGAAGACAGATCTTTCAGAGAATTATACCCCTTCCCAGGAGGGTAAGCTATGTAAATATGAAAATGAAAGAATTCTATTCTGCACGAAAGCAGATTCTTGCCCTGCACTGCCAAGGGACTGAACTTAATCACTAATCCTCTGCATCTTATAGTGGAGGCAGAACTCCAAGCCACAGGACTGTGGTGGTGTAGCAGGAATATTTCCCCAAAGACAGCAGCTCGCAGAAGAGATAAGGTACATCACAGCTTTGGAGTGACAAGATTGCTATCGCAGCCTGTGCCTCATTACTATTTCCAACCTTCAGCACAGATCTATGATGCCTTTCCAGGATTAGCCTACTTCTAAAGCTAAAGAAAGCCTCTCTTAATTTACAGCCTGTTACTTATTTAACACCAGACTCACATTAATTGAGAGTGCATTTGGACTATCCCAGCATTTTAGCAGTACAGTGTACTTGGAACATGACACAGGACTAGGGAGTGTACAGAGTGATGCCAAGCGCAGTGCTTGACTTAAACAGAGCACATCTCATGTATACAAACATTTTGGCCTCATACCTAAAAGCAGAATCTGATATTGCCCCTTTTTTTAAACAGTGGCTTTTTTCACCTCCAAAGATTCCCATGAATGATGGTCTTAATACAATTATGATAATCTCCATATATGGCTTCAAATAATGGAAATATAAAAACGAGAAGAGACAAGTCAGCCCCCAAAGTTTGGGCCTAAGGATCCTCTGCTTTGCATTCTGGTATAAAGCCCAAGTTCAGCAAAGTGTGTTGTAACTTTTCTTGGGGTCAAAAACCGTTTCTAAAATACATTCTTTTAGGACACTAACTCAGATAAAACAAAAGAAAGCTTGTTACCAGAAGTATACACCACAGGCTTCTAAATATGTATTTTGATATCAGAATTACTATTTTGCTACTTGCATCCTTTTAATCACCTGGGCATTCCCTGCCCCCCCCGGCCCACAACCAAGAAATAGGGGAGACTGGACAGCTATTGTGCAACATTGAAGACTGCTGGCTTATAATTTATTACTAGTAATGAGCCTCAGCTATTCACCCTGAATTATTCTTCTAAAGGCAAAGCAGTTAAAAGTAATGGGTATCTGCTTCAGGTCAGAATAATGAGGACACTAAAAAAAGTATATAAACAGCTAGAGTATATGCCAGCTATGCAGGCAGAGAGATCTGCTCTGCTCTAATTGAATGGGCAGTACACCTGCAGCATAGTCAAGTCAGAAAAACACATCATCTATCATGGTGGAGGAAAATTAATAGGTATAAGAACAGTGCATCCCACAAGTGATTACCCAGCCCCCTTCCAATGACCTACTTTCCCTCAGATCCATAGCTGTTCATGCTGTCCTCAATGGACTCATGGCTGGCTTGACGGACGGTCCGGCTGGGCATTTCGACAGCCAGCCCAGTTTCTGTGCTCCTTTGGATGGCTCCTTTCAGTCTCCGACCATCCCCATCTAGGAACAAAAGGGGAGAAAAGATGGTCAGCTATTGTTCCCAGAGCCTTTTGCAACAAAAGAGCCAAGGAGAAGCAGAAAAGGTCTTTCAGAAGACCAGCCTGGCATCTGGCAGCCAGTATTTCACACTCACGCAGCGTTTCGTTACTCAGCCCTGCTTCATCAGCAGCTCCCAGTCACCTCTGGAACAAACCCAGTGCTCCAGCAAGCCAGGGCCCAGCAGAAACTCAAAACATACATACCACCCTACCTACTCCAACCATTTGTACCAATTAATTACGCACGGAGCGCAGGTGCGTGCAGGCACACAAGCTGGCTGTACGTGGAGCTACCCAGTTTGGGAACACAGCAGCAGCAGTCACGGGCAGAGCCGAGGCACACAGCCTGACCATGCCTCAGAGCGTTTCCTACGTCCCGTGTCGCTGCCTCAGACTGTGCAGAGCAGCAAAGAGCCACAGCTGCTGGTGAGCATCAGGGGAGCAGAAGGGAGGAAAAGGCCAGGCAGCACCAGAAGTGCTGCGGAGGCAGGAGCCCTCCCAGATGGGCCATAGGGGAATATGTTGGTCATGGCCAAAATGTTCCCTGGTGGCACCTGGAACGGCACCAGCAGCAGAAAACCTCAGGGAAGACTATTCCGCTTCGTACACGCCCTCGGCCAGAGCGCAAAGGGAGTTACGTAGGCTCTGGTTCCTCCCGGGTGCAGTCTGCAGTGGCTCAGCCCTCTGAAATTAACAGCTGCTATTTTCATCCTCCATCTCTAGCAGTCTGTTACTCCGAACAAACCATGTTATGTAATGAATATGTAATGAATACCATCACTATTAATTGCTTTAGCTGGTGTTAGGAAGCTCCAGATTTCAACCCACATACAGCACTCATCCTGAAGCACATCTGCGACAAGTTTTCTGAACAAAGCATAATTATTTAAATCCTTCAAAAGTGCCTGTCCATTAACCTGGATCCAGGCCACTAACCTCTGACCCACGGTGTTCTCAGAAACCCACCAGCTTTTTGAGTACCACCCTGGAGGAGAAATGACCCAGCTATTGAGCTTAGAGAATTCAGGATCCCCAAATACTAAAGAAAAGAAGTCTTTCCCAACTACTTTGGAAATATGAGGATATCTGTAAGAATCTGTCTAAAATATGTAGAACATTGTTATTTGTGTACCAAGCTGCTTGACCTAAAACACTTTTCTTTGGATCTCGGTGTGAACATGCACTTTTGGGAATTAAAAAAACCAAAAAAAACCCCCCAAAAAAACCAGTAAGATATCAGAAATGCTTCCTATCCTTCTTCTCAGGTTATACCTACACTGAAATGCAAAGGCAAAAATTCTTCCCTAAACTCAGCTATAAAGTCCCTTTTCCTCTGGTATGATGAGGTTTCCAACTGGGTAAATGTGTTGGCCCCAGGGCTCTGTACCAGCTGCTGTCCCCACATATGGTGCAGCATGTGTATGAATGTCCCTATGGGCTAAGAGGATAGAATATGCATGTTCTGGGTTAACATTAACTACAGTTTGTATTGATTGTGTGCCTAGAGCAATGTATGAAACACATTGTATAAATCAGGAAGTTACACAAACATAAAACATTTTTTTAATGCGCTTTCAAAATCCAAACCTTCAGGCAAGAACAACAATATAGGCAATAAAGCAAAGCCTCGTGAAACAGCCTTACCTACTTCCCAACCACTGCCGAACAGCTCCCTTTGGCACACCTTCAACAAGCCCCATACAGCCTGCTGGATCCTCTGATGGGGTTTCTAGGTTCCTTTCAGAGAGCATCCCACAGCTTTACAGGCACACTTGACGGTCCATTTAATTTGTCTCACATTCACCTCCACAATCAATCTTTTAGTCATTTGCATCCATCAATGTCCATCCCTCCTCCCCTCAGAACACTCATTGTTCTGCACCTTTTACGTTAGTCCTTACGAGAGCCTTGGTAGGCAACCACAGTCAAAGCAGCGAATGACATTAATGTAGGAAACAGATATAAAAAGCCCCATTGCCCAAATATGCAACATTTTAAAAAAAAAAAAAATCTCCTATTTCCCCAGTATAATGAGACACGCCTGGAGACATTCATACTTAGAAGACTATGCATCCACATCTGGCAACAAAGAGGCTTGGGACAGCACCTCACAGACGCCAAGAACCAGAAGGGACCAGCAGACACTTTGCCAAGTTCTCTGTGTGACAGGCACTTGAATTTTGCTCTGTTCAGCCAAACAATTTACATTTGGCTAAAGAATATCTTCTAAAAAGTTATCCACTCTGGATTTGAAGATATCGAGAGGTGAAGAAGCTGCTGTTTTCCTGTGCCGTTTATTTTACTACCTTGAGAGATACAACTTAAGTTTGTGTGGTTTCAGCTTTCACCCATCAGTTTTTTTGAACACCCTTCTCCACTACGAGGGCTGCTTTCTGTTCTAGCTATAAAGACTCTTCTGCAGTGTAATCAAGTCATCTCTCAATCTTTTTTGACAAGTTAAACAGACTGAGCTCTTTATCTTTCTCATGCTCTGACATTTTTTTCTCCTGCCCTTGAATCTTTTTAATGACCTCTCCAGGTTTTAAATGCCCTTTTGAGAACATGCGCAGCAGAATTGGAGACGGCATTTTAGTGCAAAAACATGTACAGAGGTAAAAATCAGCTCGTACTCTCATCTTCGCTGCTTCTGCTTGCATCTGCCAAGATCACAGTAAGCTCTTGGTATAGCATCACACCTTGCCTGGCCACTGTGCAATCCTGCTGGTACAACCTTGTACAAGATTATATTAAGAAATATGTAAGAAAACACATTTTATTTGAAGAGAGCGAGCAGAAAGTCCAGACAGCTCTATACAACTCTCCCACCCTCAAGACTATTTACTGTTCTTCTAATATGCATATCACCTGTGAACTTCAGTGAGGTTTAAACTCATGCTTGCTCCAATCAAATGAAAACGCTGAATAGCACCAGGCCTTCAGAAGAGCCTCCTGCCTTTGAGCCTTTTCCTTGACAACTGCTTTTTGAAATGTGAAGTAAGTTTTTAATCTATTTATCACTATCACATTTTTAGGGTCATGTTGTTCTAGGACAAAACCCTTACATACTTATCACATTTACCCAGATACCTGCTTCTACTAAAACTCAGAGAAAAAAAAGAAAGTCTGACAAGACCCATTTTCCCTAAATCCTTCTTGACTGGTATTAATTATATTCCATCATTCTGTTCTTTATTAATTGGAGCTCCTTATCATGTTTCCCCTAATTCTGTCTGTGAGCAACATCAGACCAACTAACCAAAAGTTCCCTCCAGACAACCCAGTGATGGACAAAGAGGAGTAAGGTGACTGTGCAAGTGCCCTGCACAGCACAGAGCAGCCTTTGGAGAGTTCCTTTCCTTAAATATATTTTCAGATGTCAACCACATCAAGAGGCTGCTCTTCTAGAGGATGACACCACTCCTGTGGCAGAATTGACTGCCACCAAGAATTGTATTTGCCTTAAAACTTGGGGGTGGAAAAAATAAGAGGGGCATTGTCCCCTTTTCTCTCCCAAGGAAAGAGTTACCATTTCTTATGCCCTCTTCTATGTCAGTCTAACACACAACTCTTCAAAGCCCTTCCTCTCTGCTACTGACAGGTCTCTCCACGCTCAGAGGCCATTAAGTCTTGAAAAAAATCTATGCGAGTTCTGCAATAGCTCATCACAAGGTCATGATTATGTAATTATTACTCCTACACAGAATTACTTTACAATAGATGCTTATTGAATTGATGTTTCTGAGGGACAGAGTGTGCCCCTTTCACTGTTACACCTGTACTACCTCCTCTCTTGTTGCTTCCTTTTCCCCCATCCAGGTACTTAGTACCTTCTTTCTCTTTTCCTTTTTGTTTTCAATTTTCTCCTCCATGTTCACTCAGTTTGGTTCACTCAGATGGTACCAACACAAAATGAAACCAGCATGATGCATGTGCTATGGACCCTCCCATACTTTAGAATTAATTGATATTGATTTAATCCTGAGATTAGGAATTCACTGAATTTCAACTCGATCAGCTTTGCTCCTAAATTAACCAACTGCTTCCAAGCTCAGAACATGTTGGTACCCAAAGCTTGTGGCCAGGCAGCACCAACACACCAAGGGTCTGACAAAACAGCCCGCTCACCTTTTTCCCTTCCCAAACTTCACCTTGGGGTGCAAGGTGGAGAGGAAGAGAAAGCAGCTTTCGAGAGGAACCTTTCTTTCAGGTTGCATTTGTTTCTACTGCAAAGCTCTGGACAAAATAACATTTTATATTTTCCAGGAAAGACTAGCCCAAGCCTGAGCAAAGAGACTGCATTTCTATGGCTTTTCGTACCCAAGGCACGCAGCATGCATCGACTTGCATCCCTACATGCTGCAGGGTATCGACCTGGGCACGCTCTGCTCTCTGCCTTCACACCTGGGTTCCTCAGCAACTGAATTATCTGCTTTGCTCCAAAATGAGGTCCAGGTACAAACCAGCACTTATGAAGCATGGAGAATTGACAACCCCAGCAGGGAAACAGAGAAAAAACCCATCTGACGGAGTGGATGCATCCTTTGGAGCACATTGCAGATCACACAGAAGCAGAGATGAGCCGAAATGAGGGGGATGAACATCTGCGACAGAGTGTATCTGCAGTGAGCATCCAGGGGTGCCAGGGGCACATGGTTGGGTGGGACAGGACCTGACTGCCTGCAAAGGAGATATGCCCAGAGCTCTGCGGCAGTTTACCCCAAACCTGCCTGCTCTGTCGCTGGCTGAAATGCGGTCTCACAAGCCCTTTAATTTCCCACAGCCACAAACTTCACTCTTAAGGTCAAAAACAAAGAGTTGATTCTTGCTTTCTTCTCCATGAAGATCTGCCCCAGAGAAAAGATGATGCGTGTCAGTTTGGGGCTGAAAATGAAGAAGGAAAAACACCAAGCACCCATCTGGATATTATCACCTGCTGAGGTTAGGAAGAAGGTCCCCAAGTCC